TATATATATTCCGTATTCTTATCATAAAGCTGGGAAACTTGTGTTCACCAGTACCTATGGCAGAACTAATTTTACTAAAATTATTTCATTTCCAAAAATGCATTACCAGTATAAAGATGAAGAAGATTATTGCCAGAGATAAGAGAAGTATTTGCTACTCTAAGGGTCCTTCTGGCAAAATTTTTCCCATCGTTTCTTTCGATGATCTCGATAAAAAAAATTGGTTTAACACTGATGAATTCAAACGACTTCTTTGAGAGAGCTCTTACACAGTAAGACACTTGAAAATATGTTAATGGGCTAACTGTGAATGGACGCATAATCTGGTTTTGCAGGCTCAAGATTTTTTAAAAAGTGTCCTCAAAACCACACTCTTGATATCTCGTCAAGGTTCTTTCTGGTGTTCTGGCTTTCACTGAAGAGCCTGGAGCGGCTTAAGTAAAGAGCCCTCAACGGAGCTTGATGCGGAGGTCGTTAGTGCTGTGAAGCCTTTGAAGTGTATTGTTGTGATTGCCCCTTGTGATTGTAAAATCTCACTCCCCACTTCGACAGATGACGAGCAGTTGTGATGACAGTGCAATTGTAAATTCAATTAGCCATTTTATTGTCTATAATATTTTGTTATGAAATGAAAGATAGACATAGTCATAATATAAATATATATCACAATTGTCATCTCCAAAGAACTAAAGGAAATCAGGATGTATATTTTTAAAACAAATAGGCCTATTCACTGTGAACTAAGTGGGAAAATTATTTATTTAGTCAGTAATTCTCCTGAAAATCTTACAAAAATTTCTCCAGTTTTGCAGTAAACAGATATTTTTTAAACACACCACTCAACTATTGGGAGATTCTCATTAATAATAATTAAATAAGACTATTACAACATTTTTAGTAAAAAAAATACATTTTCTATTCTTTAGCACTAAATTTTTGTTTGTAATGTGGTCTGCAGCTCGTTACATTCTTGAATTATTCAAATGAGCTATTATAAGTGGCTTATCCGCGTCAAAATCTATTACCTATGTTCTGTGATGTACTTAGTATCTTTCTCATTACTTATCCTGTTAGGCGCCGGTGCTTCAATTCGAAGCACTAATTTACTCTTAGTCACTGACCGTCACTGTGGGAGAGCTAATTCTTAATTTTAGCCAGCGAAGGATAATGAAGCCTTTTAAAACACAATAATATTTAGCCTTCAATGAAAAACAGAATGAAATTTCTATGGTATATAACCACAGCACTTTAAAACTTCATTTGCGAGGATAATTTTCCCAGGGCCTGTGTCCTTATTGTGTCAATTGTTGCGAGTAATTTAGGTGTATTGACATAAATAGATAAATGGTTGCTTTTTAGCCTATAGTATTTGCTTTTTAGAGTATAGGACAACAGTTAAATGCATGATTAGTCATGCCGATAACAGGACTGATAACTCTTAAAACCAATGGGACTGGGAGAATTTCTACCTTAGCTTTTCAAACTCCTTGGAGATAAAGCTTTTTAGTCCTGTTTTTCAGCCATAGATTACCAGCTTAAGGCTGAGTTAACACTAATGATAATGGATTATCTGTCACTTTAAAGCCTGTGATGTTAAGGTTATTGATTGATGGATAATTCGTTCTTCAAATTTATTTATCCCTGCTACTGTTATGTCAATGAACTTTTGATTCACATAAACTTACAGCCAATCACATTGTCAAGATACAGGTGTAATCTATCGCAGTCTGTCCTGTCTATTATGTAGTAAATCTGAGGTGCAGGACTATGTTTTTTTGTTATTGATAATTCAGTTATGTAGGCCTATCAAGGGCATATCCTTTATGATTGAATATCATATTTGTACTAGCTGCCTATTAGGGCTCCATCTTTAACAGATTAGCATTAACAATGGATTCTTTCAATTTGTGACCTTTCATTTTTTCTTCTGCAAATGGCACATTTAAACTTATACCAATGCATACCACTGTACTAGGTATCAGATATATACTTTGGGTGGGGCTGCACTCCTTCAAAGTTTGTCACTTTCATGTTAAAGCCATGATTTTTTTAAAATATTTTTAATGATTCTTCTTTTTTAATAAAAACTAATGGTTGTATTGTATTGCTTTGCCACTTTCTGTTCTGTAATTAGGCCTCTTTGTATTTTCTTAGTTAATGGTAAGTATTGTTAGTTTCAGTACAATTTGTTTAGGTTTTTTTTTTCTCATTAATTTTAAATTTCTATTGTACAATTATACTAAGTCAGCTTTTCTGTAAATTTCTTCCTCTCGAAAAATAACTTAATAATGCTGCCTATAATAAATAGGCCTATAAATAACAATAGCAACTACATATTGCTATACTGTAACATATCTAATTACATGACATTACCTAACTAGTTATTTACAATAGGAAAAAAAATGTATACTTATCCACCCTAGACACCTAATCCTTACTGAGCTGATCTTCATATATTTACACAGGTATATATGTTATCCACACCAATGGATTGCTAGCTATTCTCTATAATGAGATGTATACTTAATTCTCCAATGCCTAGAACATGCAAGCTGTACATACCACCTCTGATGGTAAAGGTAAAATCTGGTTTTTTTTTTACAAATTAACATTACATAATTATATAAATCAAATGTACAAAAACTGTATTATATTATATACTGGTATGTTATTGTGGTGGAAAAAGCAAAAGATTGCAGATGATAAAAACAAAATTGCTTGTTTGGCATTTTCTATTATTACCGCAACCTTTGTCATTATGAACAGCTTAACTGAATTGTAACGCAATACAAAACACATTGAGACAATGAGGAAGTCGAAAGGGAAGTTTCTATTTCAACGGGATGTGCTCAACCATTTGGATATGTTCTGTCAAGGAAATGTTGAATTGGCAAGCTGATATTTATTATGTAGGAACAAGAAAACACTTTTCTGAAAGAATTTGTGATCGAATGGAAACACCAGCGTTTTCATCGAGCCACATCTGTGGTCTCCAGAGTGTCTGGATTATATCGAAGAAATCATGCAAATTAATTTGAAATAACCATGGCAACTGTTGACAATCTAGATAGTTATAAATATGTTTTGTATTTTGGAAATGTCTGTTTGTATGTGTACATATGTCAAGCTGTATATTCCACGTCACCCTTGGAATTCTAATGATCTGAGCGTGCTCACATTGCTAATCTACGCTGGATCAATAGTGGATTCAACAATGTATAAAAATAACAATGTGAATTATATGTATGTAAAGAGGATTAGAAATATTTTGCCCAACCATAAAATGTACACATTAAGAACATTTCAGAAATCTCAGCAAGTATACATTAAAAATAAGCTTTATTTTTTTGTTCAATGGTCAAATAAATTGTAATATTAAAATGTAGGAAGAACATCAATGTAGATTGCTATTCATGGCACTGTATACACCACGGATCGATGAGAGATTTATTGGCCCTCCCTCTCAAACTGGCACTAGCCAATTATAAATCAGATGAATGGTTGAACGACTCTGAGCAAATTACTTACAGCTTAATTGAGATTTGAGAAATAAAACAGAACACAAACCTACATGTATATTTATATTTAGTTCGGTTTTAAAGAACTTTTTGTTAGAAAGCCTTGGTGAACAATTCACTTTGTACATGCCTTCGGCATTCGCTCCTTCACAAATAAATGCCTTTGTTTGACATTAGGAGGCAACTGTTCGTAATAGCTCCTCAGTTTATTAGTATATGAAGGACGGATCTTTTGGCGCGCACAGTCAATAATCAGTCAGCCGACTGTGTATAATCGGGCAGCTATCAATACTTGCAAGTTGCGATGTAATTAAGCGGATTTTCAATAGCCTCATTTGCAGTGGTGGAGGTGTTCAGATATCATGTGCAGATTCAGAGCTGTGTGTTTTTTAGCTTTCTTTGTTGTAATTTCTTTTCATGCAGCTGCTGGTAAATAGTGGATTTAAGGCTTGGCGTTGGTGTAATTTCAATCAGATAATGATAATGATTATTATTCCAAGTGTCTATGACACAGGCAGGAAGTAATATTATTTCATTAATAGGAGTGGGAATTAGAATTTTAATCTAAACAATTTCATAAATAATAATAATTATATCCTTAATATTTGAAAGTTGGTTATGAATCATCATCATCATCATGATAATCAACATTATCTTAAGCAACATTAACATCATTTTTATCAATATCAAAATTATCATCATCATAATCATCAATATCATCATCTTCATCATCATCGTCATCATCACAAACATCCTCACCATTATCATCATCTACATTTTAACAGAATGGTTGATTTGAAATTTTGAAGATAATTCTGTGTGACTAAGTTTGGAAAAATTATTAAATGAAACATTAATAGGATCAAATTAATAATCAACTTCATATGAGAACCAGCTTGATACCATTGACTTCCATTGGACAACAGTTTTTGCTGCTTTACAAATTTAATCTTAACAGAAAATCCATAAATTATCTACCAGACAATGTATGAGTCTATGAAATTAGATAGTATTATGTTAATTGGCAAGGAATTATTCTCTCATTCCAGTTTGTAATTGGAAAAAAGAATGTTAGATGTAGAACATCCTGTCTGTATTTTTGTTTGTGAATGCAAGTATGACAGTGATTAAGTTCACTGTTGTCAATTTTCAACCCATGTGCCTAAATAAGGAATTAAAAAATGAACACTAGTCGCCACCATTTAATAATAAAAATTTAGGGAAAAAAAATGATACAGTTTGCTTTAAGTAGACAATGTCGGATTTAGAGTTTTTTAATAATCAAAATAGAATTTATTTAAAAAACTAATTTATTTAATTTCTTTGTACTGCAATTAATTAACTGTGTTTTCCCCCCTCCACTGTGTATCAATTTTCAAAGTTCTTTTTTGGGACAAGCCTATAATTAATAATAATATTTTTTTCTCTCACATAGCTAAGTATGAACTGTATCTTGTGATAAGCTATCTGAGCTGTGGCTGTTTTGGTAATGTGTTAAAAAGGACTTCCAATGATTTGAACCCAGGACTCTTAGAATAGAAAGTAAGTACCGTAACCCGAAGTTTCAGCTCCCATGTACAATGGAGTAATACAATAATAATTTGCTTCAAATAATTTCAATAGTGTGTGTTCTTTCTTCTGCTTGTAGTTAGCTTTGACCTAGATATCTGTAAAATATAAATAGTAATTTGATATAGAAACACTTTATACTTGATAAATATTTACTCACACTCCGTTTTCATATTCAATATGCCTTCGAGTTGTTTCTTTAGAATAAACACACCATAAAAGTAACAAGAGTCTGAATTTTGTAAATTTGTACTATGAAATGAGCCGTTGCTCTGTGAATAAATGATTTATTACTAGTCAGATGCTTGCGTATGGCAACACCAGAGAGGCTAGGTGGAATATATTGATGGGATATGGAGATGTATTTCATTTTACAAGGGCAGGTTTTTTTTTAGTCTCTTGTTGCCATAGTTACAGCTTAATTGAGCGTGTTATTTAGTATTGACGTTGGATGCAATTAATTTCTCATTAGTGTTCGACAGAAATATAGATCTACAAAGTGAGTTGAGCTCTCTCGTCTGCTAATATGAATAAACCGGGTAGATTCACCAATCACCCTCTTGAAACTAAATGATCTTCACAGATTGAGGAATTGATTATGTAATGCATTTCGAGATTCAATGGCATATGCATGAATAAGTTGTTTAATGCATGTGAGTGGATGTACCTGGGAAGCGTGCATCTACAAGCGCCGGTGTACGCCAGTGAATGTGTCAGAAAACGAAATAAATGATTCGTTAATATTAATTATTCATGCATGTTTGATTAATATCTGATGCTAACGAATTGTTCAACACCTACTCTCTAGATAACGCCCACTCTTCTTGACAACCACGTTGCTTTAATTACTAATAAATAGCTATTTAATTGTAGGCTGCTGTTTAATTATGGAAAAAGAAACATTGTTTATGGATGATCCTGTTTAAATTACGTAAAGCCTCAGATATTGATGTATTTGTGCATAGAAAAACCAGCATAATAGTTTAATGGTCTAAATTGAATTGCAAACAATCATTGATGTGTCTTCTGTGTTTGATGACAGCAATTAATATTTTTACGACCATGTAATATTTTTCGGCCATACCACGTCGAAACACCAGTTTTTGGATCAACAAAATTCAGTAATGATGGGCTAATACTTGAATGGGTGGCCTTCTTAGGAACATTAGATGCTACAGAGAATGGAAGAGACGATGAACTCAAATGGAATTTTATTCCAAATTCTTACTCAGGGTTATGGTCACTGGAAACAAGTTTTTTTTAGATAGGAACTATAAATTGTAGTACTACTATACTGTAGTACCATCTTTTAATCTTAATTAATTAATTAATTAATTAATTGTAATTGTAATCTTGTGCAATTTAAAGAACCCAGAGTATCCTTCTTCTTCTCCATTCGTTTTGTTGTTCATGTGATACGTTATTACATTAAAACAATGCTAAAAACATATAGTGCCAATGCCAACATAGACATATGTATGACTGAGCTGAGGGACTCCCCAAATTAATAGTGGTTATGTAACGTTTGTCATGCACTGTATCATGCTCTATAGAAATGGAAGACCATAATGTAATGGGAATCTACCTCTCTGGTAGGGCCTACAATACAATCAGTGTAAAAATGTAAGATAATAATAATAATAATAATAATAATAATAATAATAATAATAATAATAATAATAATAAATATACACTACATTTATTGAGATAATTTGCTTATCTTTTTCTTTATTAGATTTACTAAAGTAAAAGAAATTATATTTGCTTCATTGCCATTCAAGTCAGCATGATACCATTAACAAACCAGAATTCTGTATTGTAAATATGCATACTGTATTTATTTACATACACACCCACCTCAAATAAACAACTTGTCTAGACTGTAGACCATAAATACATCCGTTGGGGATCTATTTTTATTGCAATGATTATTTCTTCCCCCCCCCTTTCCCTTCCTCCCTCCTCCCTACTACAGCCTTCAATAATTGTTTCAATTAGAGGAATAAATTAGGGGACTAACGATCGAACAGTTAGGTCTAGGGAAAACCAAAATGGTTGATTTTCAATGAAGAATTCTACTTTTGAGGCCTGTTTCTACTGGAAAGAAATAATTGATTAAAAATCGCTTTTTCGAAAAATTGCTTTTATTCTCACAGTAGAAATGGGACCAGTTTGAAAAAAGCGATTAAAAAAAATCGATTAAAAACATGCAATGAGTAGCATGTTTGAAGGCAAATAACCGATTTTGGCTGTGCACCTTTTAGCTGCAACACAAAAAAAGCGATTATCAGGTGAAATGTGACCTCCAGGTCAATCACTGCAAAGACTAGATCGTATTAGGCACGAACTTCCAAAAAAATTTGCCCTCTTGTTCATGTCCTAGACCTACAAGCTAAAAACGTCAACAAACATTTGGAGTGACGAATTCGTTTTGTAATTATTTTGTGCGGGATATTGGGTCTAGGCCTCTCCGCTTTTTGGGCCTACTGTTGTCCTCGTTTGGTCGCTCGTTCATTGTGCCAATGAGCACAGCCGAAAACATTTGCCTTCTCGCCCCACACCATATCTTACTCCTCATCATCATGACAGAAATGAAAAAGATACTATCCTATATAGTTAGGAAAACAACGTGTTGTATAAACAAGATGGTGACGTAATTTCCTTCACGAAAACCGATTTTCAAAAAATAAATGATGCAGTTGCAACGCAAGCAGACTGTCTGGTACTCATTAAAAATGCGGTTTAAAAAAATCGATTATTTTGTCTTCTTTATCAGTAGAAACACACTCTTTTAGAATTTTTGAGCACTTTCCTAATATAGTGCCGGTATATATTGTAGTCTTCCAATTCTCATATGTTATGAAGGAGTGTTTATTTGTCGATATTACCTCCCATAAAGAAATCCCCCTTCCCAACAAAAGAAATCATGAAAATATATGACTAGATGGGGATGTTATTTGAATCAATATGGTAATGGATGTAATGATTTATACTATTTATGTGATTTTGTGTGGGTGTGGATTTAATTTCATGAATATGCATTATTAATTAAGGCATGAATATTCTAGGTATTAAACTTTAGCACATGATTATTGTAATGTATCTTTGGCATTTATAAAATCTGCATAATATCCAAAAAGCATTGGAAGTGTGAATATGTAATATAATGTGACATTTGAAAATTGTGATTTAAACACTGACCAGGTAAATCATAAAGAAGCAATGGAACAGTGGGTTTGAATGCAGATAATGATACTGCTGAATTGAACACAGGCCATCCCTAAGGTAAATTAAAGCACTGACCAACTCACAGGGGAATTAGCATAATCATTACACAGGTAAATTATCCACTGGCCAACACACATAATAATTATGAAGGTGAATTCGGCCGGCACTGACCATTACACAGATGAATTTGGCACTGAACATCACCCAGGTTAATTAAGTATTGACCAACACATAGGTAAATTGGCACTGACCATCATACTTTTTAATAAGGCATTGTACAAACCTAATAATATGCACTGACCTTCACAGGTGAATTGACCAATTATTTATTTATTTATTTATTGAAGAGTATTTCACGAGGGGCTCTTACAGCGAAGCTGACTCAAAGAGGCCCTCAACAGTAGATACAAATATATGAATACCGTAGGTAGGTAGAATATAAAAATACTATAAAAAATATAAAATCCCTATAATTTACATCAGCAACAATGAATAAAAAATTTTAAAATCTAATAAGCAACTTCAGACACCGTTAAAAAAAAATACAAAAATAAAAAAACAGAGCAAGACTTAATCAAGATATTGCTGTCTTAAATAATTTTTGAGGTGAGATGTAAAACTGCTGACAGAGACATCACAGAAGACAGCAGACAATGAATTTTAAAAAGAAATTTGAAATGGAAACTTTTTAGAACATTGCAGATGGTTTAGCCACTGACCATCACATGACTGAAGCACGGATCATCACAATATGTGGATAAATACCGAACAATACACAGGCCCTGTATGGGCAGTTCCATTATTTTCCTTTATTCTTGATGGTGAAAAAATGGAATTTCCCTAACCTTGACCCTTTGACCTTTTCTTCCCAAAATGTAATCCTCTCTTATTATTATGTACCCTTCCACTAAATATTTATGATTATCCATTCCTTAGTTTTTGCATAATCTTGCTAACAGACAGACAGACAGACAACAGTTGAATACATAACCTTCTTGTTGGTGGAGGTAATTAAGCACTGACCATCACATATGTAAATTAAAGCATTGACCATTACAGAGTTAAATTTAGCACTGACCATCACATTTGTGTAATTACTATCACAAACATTAATTTTTCCTTTTATTCTTTGTCTCATTCATATTCATCCAATTTCCATTAAAGCCTATTGTCCAGGAGTCCGTGATTGATGATTGTCATCATGCTCTATTGGTCCCCATCTGTCTTCCATTCACAATGCATTGTTGTAATCACTTTAATGACCTTTCATGCATTATAACACTGTAGGCCCATTGAATTTATATAAATACTAAAATAGTATCTTTATAAGGCTTAAAATAATTGCCTAAATTTAGGCCTATTGATTATCTACTGTGTATTACTAGTACTATCCTACATGCTCCTGATAATTTTAATTGATTATAAATATGCTAAAAATATTCCATCTGTCATATAAAAAGGTCTAAAGATTTTAATTATAACATTAAATAGCAAATTTTAGAGGTTGAAATAACCAAGGAAGTGCTGTATCCCTGTAGTAATCAAAACAGTAATATTGTTTGTGATCTGATTTCCAAACCCTTACACATTAAATTCTTCAATTAATAAAACCATTAACTGATATGCACTATGTGATGTTTTCTTGCATTATAAAATTTACTGAACTCACTGCTATAATTAATATGTGAGTATCCAGCAGAAAATGCCCACAGAAAAATTGATTATAAAAATCATACTAAATAATT